ACTGAATTGCTATTCTCAGTCAACATTTGAAGGCTTAACCGACAGATGGCGAACTAGCAGCCATATTATATTAAAAACTTGCCCTGCTTCTATCCTAGTGTGCAGGGATGGATAGCTATTTAGAGTTAAAACTTGGGATGCAGAGATAAAGCGTCACTTCATTTCATAAAGCTGGACTTGGAAACCTGGAAAAGGATACATCTTGTTTTGGGGATTTGTGCTTTTGATGAAAATGTGTATGCGAATCTCTTCCACTATCTTTAAGGTTCCAGATTTGTATAAGATTTGATTTGAGCCAGAATCTGTAGATTTGATTGCAAATTTTGTTTCTCCCAACACAGCCCCGAGGTCCGAGTCCAACCACGAGCTAATAACTGAAAGTTATACTAATTTAGTTGACCAATCGACGCTTTATAAATACCGAGGTCTCCCGAGAAAGGTACCCACAAATTTCACCTTGAAAGTTACCTAATGTATTTTGCGGGCAGATTTAAAAGCATTTGACTTAAAATGGTAGGTTGTGAAAAGCTTTACGACTTCAGGTCGTCCTTCGGAATATAAATCACGACTCGAACATATGCGTTGTTTCTTCATCTAGCCGAGCCCTGCTCAGCTGAAATGTGATTCCCAATCTATCTGTTAGACCTTAAAGTTCGAATCAAAGGTGCCTGATCCACAATAAGTAAAATTGGTCTTTTTGAAAATATATAACAATCCAATATGGTGTCATAAGAACAAATTTTGTGATTCCGCTTATGATTTAATGAATACTTTGCATTTATAGATGCTGTGCTGGTTCAGGTCTTATCAGTCTACTCAGAATGATTCGAGGCATAGATGTGGGGTTTTAGTGGCAAACGTGTTACCCTGTATGGCTGCATTACAATCACGATTGTAAAGGCAATGCAGACCAATCCCCACAGTTCGACGGGAACGCTGATATGACTTGGGCCAGCTCCGGTAAAAATGGCTTTCTGAAATTCAAGCGTGTAGGATTTCAGGGCAAAATGAAGTCACGTCAATTCTTTGTGTGTGGATTCTCTGTCACTAGATTTACCAACAGGCTTGTGAATGAATAATAGCTCAGATGGGATATGCAAATAGCCCTTGGGACTATACCCACTATATACCTACGAAAATGTTATTTTATTTAAAAAAATTTTGGTGCTAGGCCAAACTTTACCCAATCAGACACTTTAGGACACCGAGCCTAAGATTGGGATTCTGTCATGCATCATCTGCAAGGACAACAAAAAGTTTTGACGCATGAACAAAGGACTCCATTTCATCTCATCCTGCCGCTCTCATGACGATGAAACCAGAATAAAAACACACATAAATGTGCAAGCCGCTATGCCTGTGTGGGGAACGTTCAGCCGACAAAGCGAACGTCTCCACAGCCCCGCCATACAAGGTACGATTGAAATATGCTCATCGGTCATCTTGCTCCTCTCCCTCTCGTGTGGGCAAACACCTCTGGGGCCAGTCTCGGTTATGTGCCTGTATGCTCGAGCTGGCTTCGACATGCACAATAGATTCAGCTGCATGAAACAGGGTGTGGGAGGTTACAGGCAGGATCATCTGCCCACGCTCATCCATGTCGGCCAGAGGAAGTGTGTGCATAATTGTCTGGATTCTAGGTGCGGGCATTGGCACTTCTGCAAAAAGTATGAGGCCCAAAAGCTAGAGGTGTATATGCACGTTTACTACACATGCTAAAAATTAATGCACCTGATACCGCTTCGGATGGAGGAATCGGCATGGCAAATTGCAGATGTTTTTGAGGCACTGCACCTTTAGAAGCAAGCCTATTCAATTTGTTTATTTGTTTGTGTGTTCTATAATGGTTCGTTGAGGTGTTGCCTTTTATTAATGGTGCACTGATAAGGAATAGAATAAAGGGAGTCGAGCCAGGCTCGAAGAGCATCATAAGGCCTACCCAACACATTGGGTGGGAACTCATTTATCAGTCCTATAATCACCTTAATCGAGCCAGGCTGATTCAGTCATTATGCCTAAGTAGCAGTCTTGGATAAGAATATCAGTCGTAATGTCAAAAGCGAGAATATTAAGCACTTGGGCCAAGAAAAAAAAGGAATAGAAATTCTACCAAGAAGTTTGTATACATCTAAATATATGTGGTTTAGCATGTGAATGAATAATATCTCAGATGGCATATGCAAAGGGCTTTTAGGACTCGATATACACACGAAAATGTTATTTTATTAAAAAAAATTAGGTTCTAGGCCAAACTTTACACAATCAGGCACTTTAGGACAGCGAGCATAAGATTGAGATTCTGTCGTGCACCATCTGCAAGGACAACAAAAAAGTGTTGACGCATGAACAAAGAGCTACAGAATATAAACGCGCGGATAAATGTGCATGCCGCTATGTAAAAGATAGACAAGCTGAGACCGTTTTCCATATCCTAATTCTACCATCATGCATTCTTTCAAAAAAGACGGGCGAATTATTAAGGAATTGGAGGATAAAAATAGTGTTTAAAGAAACCCTCACACTTTCTTCTGTTATACCATTTTTTAAAGATAAATATCACTCATTATCGAGATCCAGCTGCCAGAAAATTGTTTGCCTATATGATCGATGTTAAGTTGATGTGAAGAACGGTGGTAAAAAGTTATGCAGGAACTACTAACGCTTGATTGATAAATTGAAAGTAGATAGAAGGGGTTGAACCGCAATCCAAAGGGTGACCAGAATAAAGATAATTAAGAAAACCGTTCTATATCGATCTAGCATATCATTGCATAGCATTGCATAGCATTGCATAGCATTGCATAGCATTGCATAGCATTGCATAGCATT